CAGACAGTAAATCGTGTTTGTGGTTCATGATGCCAGTTCACAGAATTACCAAATTCCAACTGCCTAATTAATTATGGGTTCTTTTAAAGGCCAAAATCTGAAGACAGTTTAGTTAACAGCAGATTCACCTTAATAAAAGAATAAGTCAAAGAGTGACTAGAAATTAGCAACAGTCTGAAAACTGGATTCATATAAGCTTGTTATAATGTGAACTTCAGTTTCTGATTAATAATTACAATTTGGATTTTCATTTGGTACGTATCTCATAAACTTGTTGCCGTCGAGTTGATTCTGACTCATAGTGACCCTATAGGGCAGAACAGAACTGCCCCATAGGGTTACCAGGCAGCGCCTGGTGGATCTAAACTGCTGACCTTTTGGTTAGCAGACATAGCTCTTAACCATATTTATTCCATAATCTGTTACAGAAGATCTACTAGTCAAACAAGGAAGAAGTGACACTGAATTTCACCTTGCGGGGTGGGGGAGAAGGAAGAGTATGCAGCTTTAATTCCATTAAGAGTAATGAAAATCACATTTTGAAATCAGCTTCTAATATTTTCCATTACTGTTGCTCTATAGCATTTCTGGCATATATCTATCCAAAATAAACGCCAATATACCTGAAATAAAGTCTTCACAAATAAATTATTTCAAACAGATTCATGGGTAATCATGCAGTATACAAAAGAAATCTGTCAATACATCAAACTGAAAGCCAAGATTCAATTATATAAAGACTTGATTTAATTAATGTCTGCGTGCCCATTTATAAAGTAGTGATACTTGAAAAGCCACTAAAAATGCTAGAAGATATAAGATATATTTCCCTTAAAGATATACATACAACTCCTGGGAGCCCTGTAATTGCCCTGGGCCCTGGATGTCCATGCAGCACACCTGCCCAGATGACAAAGCCCTCCCAACACTGAGGACTCACTGTGGAACCCTTGCCCTGGAGCTGCCAAGGTGTGAGGAAAGCAAAGGAATAGGTGGCCTCTTGGCAGATCCAGTTCTTGCCATCCTTCCTTCACCTTTCCTTCAAAGGCCGACCTCACTATGCTTCCCCTCTGGCTAATCTAACAGTAAAAACCAAAGTACCCCCCTCTTTACCTTTCTGAACTCACCACCTACTACTCTCCTTTCCGCTTACTCTGTTCCAGTCACAACAGGTTCTCCATTGCTCTTCAAACATTCCAGGTTTGCTCCTTCCACAGGGACTGTTGCTGCCTTACAACATCCAAGAGAAAAGATAAAACAAAGGGGAAGAGAAGGTGCCCACCTCAGGAACCAGGAAAGAACTGAGTGGGGCAAAAGTCCTGGGACTGGCAACGTAAAGGGCTCCAGTTAGAAAAACGACTTGCTGCACACTTGGCTCTGATGTTGGTTTTGTACATAATTGTGCTCTTCATTTCAGAGAGGGTCTTATAGCATCTTTCAAGCCATTCTGGAAACAACAGTAGCAAATTATGATGATGACAACCAATTAGGAAGCAGTACCTTGACACGCACTCATTACTTTTGATCTTCACAACAACTCTGGAAAGGAGCTGGTAATTCCAATTTATGGGAGGGCAAACTGAGGCTCAGAGATGTTGAAAGATTTGCTCAAGGTTACACAGGCAGTAAAAAGCAGAGTCATCTTCTAAATCCAGATCTTCTAACTCCATGCGCCACAACTCACTTCCCGGGCTGATGTACTTAGAATAGTGTTGCAGGCACTAGTTAACTAGTGAAACATCGTAAGTCACAACTCATTTCTCTAACAGGAAGACTGTTATCACCCAGGGTAAGGCACAACATCACCGATGAGTACAAACAGGACAGGACTCACATACACCCTGCCTGCTCCAGAGCAGGATGGCACTGCACAGTCAGCAGCCACCGTTCCTGGACATGGGCATCAGTATCTGTCTATCAATGAGCATATCCCAAACTCAGCTGTAAGAATCATCTAGGGAGCAGTAGAAGAATGCATTGTCACCTTCAGGGATGAAACCAGGGAAATCAGCACTTGCCCTAGGTTTAAAATGGTTAAGCATTTGAATATTCCTGAATTAAGGGCATTCCTCACCTCACCTCCGAGCCCTGGTGGCGCAGTGGTTAAGAGCTTGGCTGCTAACCACAAGGTCAGCAGTTTGAATCCATCAGCCGCTCCTTAGAAACCCTATGGGGTGGTTCTACTCTGTCTTATGGGTAGCTATGAGTCAGAATCGACTGGACAGCAATGGGTTTTTGGTTCTCACTTCACCTCAGGGCTGAGTGCCTGAACAGAGGTCCCTGACTAGCCAGTCAAGTTCAGCAATGTCAGGCCACAGACTTCTTTCCCCAGGAATGATGAGTGTTAAGGAGTATCTCAGGGCCTTGCTGATAAAACCTTAAAAAGACCAATAGGAAAAAATTCAAATACCTAGCCACTTCGTCTAAATTGGTGAATATTCCCAGAAGAGAGACCCTTATTGGCCTATAGCTAAATCTCCTAGAGATAAATTAATTCTAAAAACAACAAATTAAGGCAAATTTTAAGTCTGCAGGCCTATGCTTGGCAATCACGTTTTAGAATTCACTTATAAGTCAGCTGTTTGAAACTTAGAGTAGATCCATTGATTCTAAAACCCATCAACCGAATAAATTTCCTGACAAGCCAGAAAAAGCACAAAAAATGTGGTAGTATTTTTACTATCCTAACTGCCACTTCAATGGGGAAAACCAAAACCCACTGCCGACGAGTTGATTCCGACTCACAGCACCACTACAGGGCAGAGCAGAACTGCCCCATAGGGTTGCTGTAAATCCTTATGGAAGCAGAGTGCCACATCTTTCTCCCTCAGAGTGGCCGCTGGGTTCGAACCATCAACCTTTTGCTTAGCAGGCCAGCGGTTTTAACCACCGTGCCACCAGGGCTCCTTTTCAATGAGGAAAGCTAAGTAAAAATTCCAAACACAACACCAGGAACTATTTCCCTTTCTCAGCTCGAGGGGCCCCATGTGGGTTCCAGGAAGGTGGAAGGGACAGCTAGGTGCTGCTGGGCCCCGGTCCTTAGTAAGCCCCTACTCCTCACGTGGTTTACCCTTCTCTGATTGTTCTCACCAGAAACAAGGCACTTTCCCTCCAGGCTCTGCAATACCTAATACCTAGAGGGATGGCCTAAAGAAGGGCTCAATAATATTCGGGTTAAAATAAAAGCCTTGGGCTTCACTTTTCAAACCGCTCTTGTCTGAGATTCTGAACGATGCTGAAAAGTGGCTGGGTTACTTCCGGATGACAACTCGGATGACAACTTTACAGTCCGAGTCTGACACTGCTCAGTACTTTCCAAGAGAGGGCACAGTAACCCCGACTACTCTCTTGCCACATGTCGCTGTAAAGCAGCAACCCACACACTGGTGGCTGAACACCTTGGTTCTTCACATAAAGCAAACGAAAGCCAGTGCCAAACGTTTGTGCCTGCAGGGATATGATCCACATGTACAGACAGCAGTCTGCAATGGCACACACCAACCAACTGGTAACAATGGTCACCTCCAAGGAAAGAGCAGCATGGGGAGAGGGTGGGAGGATAAAGCAGAAGTTTTAAATTTCATAGCTTGAATTTTCTGAGAAGTACATGCGTTTTACAAGTGAAACAAAAAAATTTAAATTATGACAAAACATTTTACAAACATTTTAAAATGATAATCTCCCTGAACATAAAAAGTGACCACAGAAATAATCAGAAATTATAAATATACTTGAACAAAAAGATTCAAATTAGAATGACTCAGCGAGGTTATTATGTATTTATACCAGAAGGTTCAGCAAACTACGGCCCATGGGCCAAACTGAGTCCAATAATTAGACCCACAAGGTAAGAACAGTTTTTGTTTTTGTTTTTAAAGTACTGTAACAAAATAAAGAAGAATACGTGAAACAGGCAATAAGTAGCCCACAAAATGCAAAAATTTACTATCTGCCCTTTACAGAAAAATTTTGCTGATCCTTGATTTACAGCAAGATGCTGTGTCTATTCAAAAATAATTCTAAATTCTTCTTGGAAATGTCTTCCAAATCACTTTTAAGAACAATAAAAATTAGCCTTACTATTTAATAGCCTAGCTTTTTTTTTTTTTTTCCTTCAAACCCAAAGGAGTATTAGTTTATTCAAGTCACCTCAGTTATCAGACTTGGCTCAAAAGACTGGTAATTTCCTAAAATCAAATTCAGCCTCAGGGTGGCGAAAGAGACATTCTCCCTTCTAGCACCTCAAGTGCAGGAACCTAACCTCTGATGTTCTAGTAAAATGTACAAGGACAGATAGAAAAATCAGTCTCAGATTAACTCTTTGAGCAGTTGAAGACTAATTTAAAAAAAAAAAAAAAAAAAGCCTATCAGTCAAACAGTCAAACTAGTACAACAGGTCACAGTTTAACAAATCATTTCCAAACTAAGGCAAAGGTCATCTTTATTCTGATTCAAACTTGTATTCTAAGCTTATATTCTGATCCGGAGTCCTGAAAGAGTTAGAATATTTCATTTGGACTATCTAAAACCCCAAGAAGTGCACTAAATAAGAATCAGATTACATCCAAATAATAAAGCTGTGACTGTAGAATTGGAAAAAATAATTTATCCTGTAAACGTGTACAACTTTCTACATTTAACCACTGATTCCAAATAATGACAACTCACAAATAAAACTCATGATCATATTTAGAAATCTCAGCACCTATTACGTACTTTTAGCAGTATGTCACTTGGAAATTAAACAGCAATTTGAAAATTTAAAGGATAGAAACATAAAATATAGGCTGATCTGTTTGTTTCTGTTTAATAACCTTTTAAATGATTTAATTTTAAATGAAAGCAATTCAAAACCTGGCACACCCACATTTTTCACAAGGAGAGAGTATCAATAGCAGGATAACAAAGACCACTATTACACTGATGGGGAAAAACTAAGATATTCCCACTTACCTCCAAATACATTTTGCTACTCAAGTAAGACACAGAAGATACTCTACCTCAATGTCCTGGACACTGAATTCCTTCTGATCTGTAAAGTTTGCAGCCCCGGTACTAAGCTCCATCAGCATCTTGGCGATCTCAGGCTTTATGGCTGAGGTCAGCCGACTGGCTGCTTCCATGACATGCTCCTGCACATCTTTAAGCTGCATGGCTGCCTTGGAGTAGTGAGAGTTCCTGAACACAGTGCTGAAGAGGTCCGTGAGGAAAGTACTGGCACGGCAGAAGACGTTGAGGGCGTCCAGGTATTTAGAGATGCCCTGCTGGATGTCAGCGATGGGAGTGGAGTGGGGCATGGCATGGTGGCAGCTGCCTGCAGCAGTCAGACTGCCCAGGGGTGTGGTGGTGGCCGTAGATGCCAAGGGAGCACTCAGTGCTCGGCCCAGCTCAGGCAGTGGGTACTGCTGGTGCTGCTGCACCTTCTGCTTGGACCCGCCAAGCAGGAAGCGCCGCTTGTAGTCCATTTTACTGTCCTGGGCACTGCAGCAATACATGCGGGAGGAGGAGCTGTCCCAGGTTCCAGGAGGGGGTCAGGGTTCTGACTCTTTTTTCAAAACCGTGGCTAGGTATAAAAATAGCGGAGTTCTGCAAACCTAAGTTCTGAAAAAGGCATTTCCATGAGGCAGGTGACCATGTGATCCAATGTGGATGTGAGGAGGACAACAGGTTTATCTAATTAATATTTTCAGTGTAGGCAAGACCTCTGACAAAAATAAAAGTGTCTCCAAAATGCTGTATAAGAACTGTGCAGCATTCCACTCTTAATAAAAAGATGCCTGCAGAGAAAAATGCTTCCCTATAATTGCTTGAAAGAATATTTTGATACTTCTATTTACAACGGCAGAAAAATAACTTAACTTTTAAAAACGTAATTTAAGGTATCGTAATGTACTATAATGTATCTTCAATATACCAGAAAAGTTAGAACCCAAAAACCCACACGCTGATCAACAGCAATTTAAAAAGCAGTACAGAATTACTTCACACTGAATCCTTAAGAAGGAGAAACAAACCTCTGCAGAGCTTTGACAGAGCCTGCCTGCCAAATCCATTTACCTGTAAAGCTTCTTCTTAATGCTAAAAATTTCCAAATTTCCTCTGTTTTCTGAAAACAACTTTTGAAAAACTTGGCATTTGTTATTAGAAGTCTTCTTTCCTTCTGTTTGCTGAGGTAGCAGTTTCCTTGTAACATTAATAAGAGGTGCGTCCAGACTGGGTGGGCCCCCAGTTGTAAAGTCTGAAGCAAGAATGAACAGATGTACTTGTAAAGCCTTTAAGTCATTTCCTGTCAGGGGAAAAAAAAAAGTAAGATAAAGTTAGCAAGGCTACAGGACAATGAGTAATCTAGAATATTAACTCTTGCAATGCTATTATCCGCATAGGCGGGCTACAACTGAATAAAATATCATATAACCCTATAGAAGAAGGTATAATAGCTGAATAATGAAATGATGACTGTTAGAAAATTCCTCAAGTTGTAGCACAAAAATAACCCAACAAAATAAGTTTAACTACACACCAAACACTCCAAAATAGAAGCTAACGAGTGACGTGTGAATGGAGCCTGGATCAAAGTGTGTTCGGCATTCCTTTCAAAGAGCTCACAAATCCGAAAGAGGATCGGATGGATACTCAGATTATGGTGAGGGTTACTGACAAGTACAGCAATCACAAAACTTTAAGGAGGATCTGAAAAAGGAGAGATGGGCAAAGAATCAGAAACTTGGAAGGTTTTTACGAGGAAAAAAAAAAAAAAGTTATTCTGAGGTAGGCCCTGATTACCGGATAGGTTTTGGCAGGTGGAGAAGAGGTGGGCGGGGCTCACCAGGTAAAAGGACCACCAGAGCCAAAGCCCTGAAGCAGGACAGCATAGGGCCTGTTCAGTTTCTAACTGGCGGTGTATGCTAGTTCTCACACCCTGGGATAGCTTCTGCAGAACCCTTGGCTCTGAGCAGGGTCAAATAGCAATGTCTGGAGGTCGCTGGTTCTAGTTTCTGATACCTACAATGGAGTAATGTGATTCTTCTCACAGAGCTAAAATCAGGGCTCACATCTCCCTAAAGTATCTGTTCTCCCAACATAACAAGAATTCCAATATCTTTTAAAGTTATATTAAGTATATATTAAGCTTAAACCTACATGATGCCTGTATGCAGTTTTATTTTGATATACTTATTGATAACTGGGTTTTCTTTCATTTTCCTTTTATGTAGATACAAATAACTACAAGTTATACTTCGTCACTTATCATGCCCAACTACCTTACTTCCTTTGTAGTACTACAGTTGGATAAGAAAGACAAGAAGGTAGGTACAAGAGCAAATAATGAGAAGAGTGCTGTAGATACAAACACATAACCTAAAGTATAGCAACTCCTCTCCAGCTGGCAAGTAAATTCACCTAAAATGGCCATCATTAGCAGTTCTGTGTTCGAGAGAATCTTGACTCTTAAAAAAAATTTCATAAACTTTTCAGGAAACAACCTATCAAATGTATCCTTGTAGGAAGTCTGCTCCTAAATGTTCCTTTTTCAAATTAATGACAATAAACCATCTACCACTACCCAAATGCTCCATTATACTCATTGTGGCTTTACAAATTCTAATGTACAACAGAAGTACTCAGCAACAGTGCTGGAGGCGGAAAGGCTGTTCATGTGGAAACTGTGGTCTGTGAAGGAAAACCATCACCTTGAATAGGCCACAGTGAGCGTACTGATGGGGGAGCAGCCCTGGGAACCACTTTTTAGTTCAGGTTACACCAGCTGCCTAGCTTCTAGGCAACCTCTAACCCTGCTGTTTCTGGCTGTAAGAGAGCATTCCCCCATTCCTCTACAAGATGGACCTAGAAAGTCAACTGAGATCCACATGTTTACCTAATTTTTAAAAAAGAACCATAAACATTAAAACTTTTTTTAATTTATATGAATAAATTTTTGAACTAAATTTGTAATGTTTGAAAATACATGTACAAATTCAATGCAATCTCTATCAAAATTCTAACTACATTTATTTTATAAAAACGGACAAGCTGATCCTAAAATTCATATGAAATGCAAGAGATCCAGGATGGCAAAAACAAATCTTGAAAAAGATCAAAGTTGGAGGACTCACACTTATTGGTTTCAAACCCTACTACAAAACTACGTTAATCAAGACACTGTGGTATTGGCATAAGGATAGATCAATGAAATAGAATTGAGAGTCTAGAAATAAACTCATACATCTATGGTCAATGGATTTTAGATAAGAGTTCCAAAACCTTTCAATGGTGAAAGAATAGTCCTTTTAATAAATGGTGTTGGGACAACTGGACATCCATATGTAAGAGAATAAATTTAGACTCCTACTTCACACCATATGCAAAAATTAACTCAAAATAGATCAAGGACTCAAATGTAACAGCTAAAACTAGAAAATTCTTAGAAGAAAGCATAGTTGCAAATCTTCATGACCTTGGATTAAACAATTTTGTTTTTTTTGGTTTTGTTTTTCTTTTTTTTATTGTGGTGAAAATATCCACATTGAAACACATTATTACAACAATTCCTACATGTATAATTCAGTGACATTGATTACATTCTTCACATTGTGAAATCATTCTTGCCATCCTTTTTCAAACTATAAGCAATGGTTTTTTAGAGATGATACCTAATGCACAAGCATCCAAAGGAAAAAACAGATAAACTGGACTTGATCAAAATTTCAAAATTTTGTGCATCAAAGGACACTATCAATAAACACACACAGAATAGCAAAAATATTTGCATATCATACATCTGATAAGAGTCTAGTATCCAGAATATATAAAAAACTCTTACTATTCAAAAATAAAAAGACGGATAACTCAAGTAGAAAATGGGAAATGGATTTGAACAGATACTTCTCCAAACATATACAACTGGCAAACAAACACATAAAAAGATGCTCAACATTAGTCATTACAGAAATGCAATGGGAAACCACATCTGACTGTCCACTAGAATGGCATTAACAACAATAATAAAAATCAGAAATAGTAAATGTTGACAAGGATGTTTAGAATTTGAAGCCCTCATTCATTGTGGTAGGAACGTAAAATTGTGCAGATCCTGTGGAAAGCAGTTTGGCAGTTGCTAAAAATGTTAAACATAGCATTGCCAGATGACCTAGCAATTCCATTCATAAGTATATACCCAAGAGAACTGAAAACATAAATTCACATAAAAACCTGTACACATCTGTTCAGAACATTATTCACAATTGCCAAAAAGTAGAAATAATCCAAATGTCTACCAACTGATGAATGGATAAACAAAAAGATGGTATATTTATACAACAGAATACTATTCAGCCGTAAAAAGGAATACTACAAAACGAATGAACCCTGAAAACATTATGCTAAGTGAAAGGAGTTAGAAACAAAAGGCCACATATTATATGATCCCACTGATACGAACTGTCCAGAGAAGGCAAACCCATAGAAACAGAAAGTAGATTAGTAGTTTCCAGGGGCTGGGAGGAAGAGGGGAAATATGGAGTGACTGCTAAGGAGTACAAGGGTTTCTTTCCAGGATGATGAAAATGTTCTGGAATTAGCTAGTGATGATGGTTGCATAACTGTGAGTATAATAAAACCCACTGAATTACACAATTTAAAATGTGAACTTATGGTATGTAAGTTACATCTCAATAATTAAAAATAAGAGATGGAAAAAAATATTCTATTGGTTTCCAGAAATGTCTTTTTAGAATAAATGAACAAAGGCCTAATACGTTACTTCTGAAGAATGACCCACTGATTACTGGGTGGATCTTCAGATCTGTAGGTAGTCACTGACTGACCTGGGTGTGATTATCTAGGTATGTTTACATGGAAACAATTCATCAAGTGATGTTACTATAATTTTTGCACTTTTCTATATGTTATGCTCAGTAAAGAAGTAACGGAAAGAACGAAGAATTGACAGACAACAGAAAAGAGGGAAGTATAATATATATAGAAGTTTGAGTAAGGAAACTTTCATTCCAAGTGGAAGGAACAGCTTAAAGGGGACAAAACAAGAAGGCATTAGGGCAGAGACTACTAAGACGCTGGTCTCAATCAAGTATCCCTTCTCCTTTACAATTACACCAGTGGGGCCAAGAATATGTGCTTACGTGACTAATTCAGGGTATAACAAAAAGTTCTAAATGGTGCTCACTAAAACATTCTTGAAGGTCTTGACAAGCTTTAACACTCAGACCTAACACAAACTACAATTTCACTACTAAAAGGAGAGCAACATATTCATGAACATAAAGTATAAAAAGAAGGGAGAGGGGAATGGTGTCATAGAAAATGGAGACTAAGGACTTCCAAAGATTCTCTCACCAATAAAAGCAATGTTAAACTAGCAAAAATTTTCAGAATCAATTTTTTCATAATTCCAGAAATTAACAGGCTTACAGCAATCCTGGGAGGATTTACTCAAGAAAAACAGCTGAATCTCAAGAAAATAACGAGCTAAGCAGTGTTTTAACTTGACCTATTCCCAATTCCAGCTCCACAGTAGCACTGAAAATGAATAGCCAAATTTGCAGTGAAAACCAGCAGCCCAGCAACCAACAGAGGGAGCTGAATGGGGCTATAGTCCTTAGACAGCCTCACTGCCATGAAATTATCATTATTTCACCAGTCTGGTGACCTAAAAGAACCCACTTGCAAGGCTCTGTATTTGAGCCTGAAGCTCACTTGGGGAGAGGTGGAAAGAATCTGATTTTTAAACTTGCCACGCTGTATTATTTAAAATGTCTAATTTTCAACAAAAAATTATGAGACATGCAAAGAACCAAAAAAGAAAGGACCATACGCAAGACAATAAGCAGTCAATGGAAACTATCGCTGAAGAAGATCAGATGTTGGAATACTAGACTAAGACTTTAAATCAAATATTTTAAATAGGCTCAAGAACTAAAGAAAACCGTGTCTAAACCCGTTGACCTGACGAGTCAATTCCAACTCACAGCAACCCTATAGGACAGAGCAGAACTGCCCCGTAGGATTTCCAAGGAGTGACTGATGGATTCAAACGGCCTACCTTGTGGTTAGCAGGAGAACACTTAACCACTGCGCCACCGGGGCTCTGAAACCCATGTCTAAAGAACTAAAAGAAAGTATGAGAACAATGTCTCACAGAATGGAGAATACCAATAAAAAATAGAAATTGAAAAGAACCAAACAGAAATTCTGCAGTTGAAAAATACAATTAACTGGCACAGCTGGGAAGATGGAGGTATAAACAGACCACTGTTCTGGCCCTCCTCC